CACTCAGAGTAGTTTAATGATTACTTAAGGTGTTCCTCAGTAACGATTTGAAAAAATTCCCTGTCAGAGTCAGTTAATGATTCATTAACAGAATTTAACGAATGCTTTGTTTGTTTTCAATAAATTTTAATTTTAATAAATTTTTAGTTTTTATTGCTTTAAAACAAATTTTTTTAACTTCATAAAGTTTTTTAGAAAACTTATTGCTGAAAGATAATTAGAGTAGCGTTAGCAGATCTTTCAATTAGTCATTCGGTATACAGAAAAGAGCTTTCAAGATAGTTGTATTTTAGCAAACACTTTCTAAAAACTAAATGAAATTAAAAAATAGTTTTCTTTTTAAAACGATCTACAAATCCAAAGAAAATTAAATTAAAGCATTTAATGAAATAAAATTCTTCTTCTTCTTCTTCTTCTTCTTTTTTGGAGCTGTAACCGCCTAAGCGATTTTGACCGAGTTCTGCAAAGCACGCCAGTCGTTTCCCCTCTGTGCCAACTGACGCCATTTGGAAACGCCAAGTGATCCATCTGATCTTTCCATCGCTGTGGGGGCCTCCCTCTTCCTCTGCTACCACCAGCGGGTTCCGAGTTGAGTACTTTCAGAGCTGGAGCGTCGGTGTCCATTCGAACAACATGGCCAAGCCAGCGGAGCCGCTGTATTTTAATTCGCTGCACTATGTCCATGTCGTTGTAAAGCTCTTAAAGCTCATCGTTCCATCGTCTGCGGTACTCGCCGTCGCCAACGCNCATAAAGCTCATCGTTCCATCGTCTGCGGTACTCGCCGTCGCCAACGCGTTAGTTAGTTAATTTACTGGGTGTAATAGAACAGAGACACCGCGACCTAAAAGATCTTTTGTATCTGCCTCGAGGCAGAGCCGGCATTCCGGCTCTGTGATCGCCCCTATTCGGTGTAAGTGGAACCGCAATTGGTTGTGACCAGTCAGACACCCAGAAAGTAACCTGATGTCAATTCTGTTTTGTAGGACGATGTCGTTCCTGTTAAAGGGGTAGCGGAATAGCCTGGCCTGCCTAAGGCCCCCACCGCTCCCCAGTATTTACTGCGTTCTGAGTGTACCCACTCAGTGATTATGGCTCTCGAAGAGGACCAACTGAGACCACAGAATGGTTCAGGTCCCGAAAAGGCAGTAAGCGATCCTTCACGTGCCAACTCATCAGCGATCTCGTTGCCTTCGATTCCAGAATGGCCTGGTACCCAGCACAATGTTACCGTGTTTTTGGCTGCCAAAAATTGTAGCGTGTTAAAGCAGTCTCTAACCAACTTAGATTTGATAGTCCTGTTTGAAAGGGCCCGGATGGCTGCTTGGCTATCTGAAAAGATAACTAAAAAAGCGCCCTTTAAACCCTTTTCAAGGTTTAATTTTGCGCAGTTTAAGATTGCGACTATTTCAGCCTGAAACACCGTGGGCCATTTGCCCATGGGAATTGTAAGTTTGGTGCTAGGTCCAAAGATGCCTGGACCCGCTCTGTCCGCCATCCTTGATCCATCTGTGTACCAGTGTACATATCTGAGATCAAGGGAAGTGAGCCCATTGCCCAATCTTCGCGATCGGGGATTATCACTTGGAATTTTCTGCCAAAGCAGACCTCCTTAGTCATGGAATCAGAGATTCCGCATATATCCAACCCTGGTATCTTCCCAAGAATACCTGCATGAGGCTTCTTTACGAAGAAGCAGTCGTTAGATAGTCGAAGTTGCAGCTCCCTCGTGGCTGCTGATTCCTGAATAAAAATATGGAGAGGAGTCCATCCCAGGAGCGACTCTAGAGCCGCAGTTGGACACGTTCTTATAGATGCTGTGACGGATAGACATGCCAATCTTTGCAGCTTGTTAAGGCGAAGTATGGCAGTTTTTTGCATTGTCTTCTGCCACCACGCTATGGATGCATAGGACACAATCGGACGGACGATCATACGGTAGAGCCACTCAATCAGCCTTGAGCTCAACCCCCATTTCCTACCAAAAAGTCTTCTGCAGGCCCACATGGCTCGCGTGGCTTTAGCAATCGTTCTGTCAAGATGGGAGTTCCAATTAAGTTTCTTATCTAGCGTTATCCCCAGATATTTGACCTCATCGGAATATTCAAGTACTGTCCTGCAAGAGTGACCGAACCAAGGTTCGGTTTATATCTTGTTGTAAACGGTATTAGAACAGCCTTCCGAGGATTTATGCTGAGGCCCTCATTGGCACACCAGTTTGAGACCACGCGAAGAGCTGCGCACGTAACGTCAGAGACAGTACTACCGAATTTCCCCGCAACAATAATTGCAAGGTCATCTGCGTATCCCACAACATCGTAACCACACTCATGTAGTCTGATTAAGAGGTCATCCACAACAAGTGACCAAAGCAAGGGAGAAAGGACCCCTCCCTGTGGGCAGCCTCTCACGGCTCTGATCTTCACTTGAGTATTGCCCAAGGACGATGTAATTTCGCGCTCACGAAGCATAGCGTCGATCCAACCAACAGTAGTAGGATCTAAGCCTCTTTGGGCCAATGTCCTTGAGATAGATCCATAGGCAGTATTATCGAAAGCCCCCTCGATGTCCAAGAAGGTACACAGAGCGATCTCCTTTGCCTCGAAGGCACTTTCGATCCTACTAACCAGATAATGTAGGGCCGAATCCGTGGATTTCCCTTTAACATACGCGAATTGTGTGTGATGTAAGGGAGTGAAGGTGTTACGTCTCTCCCTAATGTGGAGGTCTAGAAGTCTCTCTAAAGTTTTGAGGGTGAAGGAAGTTAAGCTAATAGGTCTGTATGACTTAGCTAAGTCAAGGGGCCTGTTGGGGACACCTTCCTCCAAGCATACGGTATGTATTCCCAGCAATATTTAGCCCTAAATATACAGATCAGGGGATCAATAATATCCTCAATGCTTCTTTGGAGTAGTGCTGGGAAGATCCCATCACCACCCGCTGCTTTGAAGGGTTCAAAAGACTCTACCGCCCACCGTACCTTGTCCCTGTCAAAGATGGAGCCAGATCTGCTTTGACTTCTGACTCTAGGGAACCTGTGTTCCGAGGAGACAGAGGTAATCAGATCATGCTCCACCAAGGAACCTGGGAAATGCACTTGAAGTAGGTGATTTAGAGTCTCCCTGTTATTGTTCGTAAAGGTGCCATCTTGCCTCCTTAGGAGGCCTATCCCATTGGAAGACTCCTTTGATAAAATTTTATGCAGACGCGAGGCTTCAGGTAACGTTTCAATTGTTCCACAATGTCGCCTCCATGAATCCCTCTTCGAGCGCCTAATACTCTTGTTATAGTCAGTGAGACAGGCCTTATACTCGTCCCACTGATGTGTCCTTTTGGCCCTGTTGAAGAGCTTCCTGACAGTTTTACGCTTAGCATCCAGTTCCCCATTCCACCAGGGAACCTTACGTTTCATCAAGGTGGAACAAGTAACTGCTGTCATGGAAGGATTCCAACAGAACTCTGTTAAGCAGATCCGCTGCGACATCCATTTCGTCGACTGAGTCAATGGTGGTTAGCAACGAGTCTGCCCTAACCTTTACTAAGGTTTTAAATAGGGCCCAGTCAGTTTTCTTGGGCTGGAAAGTCAAGCCTCGGAGCTCAGATCGCCCTGGGATCTCGAAGACTATGTGTTGAGGATCCGAGAGCGATGCTTCTTCCGAGACTTGCCAATTCCAAACGCAATCGGAAATTGATCTGCTGCAGAGAGTGAGATCTAGTACCTCCTCCCTGACGGCAGTAATAAATGTAGGTTTGCAACGAGCTGCTGCACCTCCAATGGTGGTATGGTGGGGACGTCACCAGGAAAGTAGGCGGATGCAAGGACAATTTCCTGCACCCCACCCACCGTCGACACTAGGGTGATTCAAAATTGAAACTTTTTTGAATTTCGACTGAGAACGTTCGGATTCTTGAAGATAAGAGGGAAGACAAGTTCCTTCTAAAATTTCAGCTTATTTGAACAAGATTTGGAGGTCGCTCAACGCTGTTATTTGTTTTTCGGAAACTACAGATTTTAGATGCATCCTTATTAACAAATAGGTATATTTTCATCAAATCTTGTCGTATTTCGCTGAAATTTTATAGGTAGGTCCGAAAATATCAGCTTATTGGAACGCAGTTTATAAAAATTCGATAAATTAGTTTTAAACACATTTATTAATTAGTTAGTAACTAAGTTTTGCCTTATAAAAAATTAATATTTGCATTAATTTTTTTTTGTTCCTTAGCCACTGAGCGTATGCTTAATACACCTAAGATCACACTATAATTCATATCATTAGGAGACCTCATCAATTAATATTATTAAAAAGCAAATAAAAAAAATCACCAGATAAATATCACTTATATGCCATGTTGAATGCAAGTATTTTCCTAGTCATTGCAGATATTAATAGTATAATAATAATATTTTGGCGCTTACACCTTTGCCAAGTGTTTGGCCAAGCTTCTCCTCCAATTTGTGGTATGTGTCTTGATGTTGTCACAAAAAGGCGGGGAGAAGCTTTTTCAAGGCAGAAGTACACACGAAGGCGGTGTTGAGCGTTAATCAAATAATTTTTCAATCTTTTTTTAAATTTATTAAAAAAGTAATTACAATTATTTATTAATTTATTTGCAATGCGCAATTAAAATTTTAATTGCAATTAAACATTTAGTTGGGTATTGCACACGGCAAATAATTTAATTGCAATTACTTTTTTGATAACTGAACAATTGGCAAGCCTTTTTGCCAAGAAGCGATCAAATTAAAACACGATAGTTTAACAATGTTGTGTATTTCGCGAAACGGATTCTCTATGATAATGACCTTTACAGCCTTCAAGGACAGACCTTTTATACAAAATAAATTTAGCTTAAAAAACTATTATAAAAAATTAATAAACAATAGATACATATGAACATGAAAGCAAATGGTTAAAATAAACAAATTACGAATATGAGTGACAAGAACAGATACAGTGGAGGGCATATTTAAATTACTTGAAATTATATGACTTATAATTTAAGAATTTTGGTGCTTCTCCAAACATCCTCCCTCCGTTGGAAGCGGTAGGCTTTCAACTACATCAGGGTCCATGGGCAGGACACACAACTTGTTGATAGCGCGCCTGGTAGTGCCACTAGCGGTGCGAAGAACATCCACTCGCGCAACTTCATCGTTGCCCTTGATGTTTTCAATAACTCTGGCCAGCGGCCACTTCAGCGGAGGCAAATTCTCATCCTTAACAAGCACCATGGTTCCGATTTCAATGTCCGGCTTTCGGGAGCGCCATTTGCTACGTTGCTGCAGAAGCGTGAGATACTCAGCAGACCAATTTTTCCAGAAGATTTGCTGCATATAGCAGACCCGCTGCCACCTGTCCAAGCGGTTAATATTAAGCACTGAAACGTCTGGCTCAATCAACGCGGTGAATGCGGACCCGATCAGAAAGTGGGCCGGAGTTAGTACGTCGAGGTCTTCAGGATTTTCTGTAAGAGGACAGAGAGTTCATTATTGCATAAATTTCAACCTCCATTGTTCTTAGTTCGTCGAAGTTTAAAACCGAGAGTCCAACAACACGCCAAAAATAAAATTTGGCAGTTTTCACCGATGCCTCCCAAAGGCCGCCAAAATGCGGAGACCTAGGAGGTATAAAGCGAAAATCGATACCATCGTCGAGGCACTGCTGATGAATTGCTTGGCAATTTTGATCGTTGGAAAATAGTCGCTTTAGCTCTGCCAATTCATTTTTCGCACCAACGAAGTTTATAGCGTTATCAGACCAAAGCGTTTTAGGTTTACCACGCGTACATATAAAGCGCTTGAGTGCGGCTATAAACGATGGTGTTGACAAATCACTAACCAACTCGAGGTGCACAGCCTTTGTGCTAAAACAAACAAACAGGCAGATGTAGCATTTAATAGCAGGTTTATTGCGTACTTCAGATCGATACAAAAACGGGCCACAAAAATCCATGCCAGTTACTAAGAATGCTCGGTTTGCCTGCATCCGATCGGCCGGCAAGTTGCCCATAAGATGTTCTGCTGTTTTTGGCTTAACTCGAAAGCATCGTATGCACTTGTTGATCACCTTAGCTACAGCCTTCCTTCCACCTATTGGCCAGTACTGGAGACGAATCGACGCTAAAACGGCTTGTGGTCCACCATGCAACATTTTCCGACGAAAATGATCAATCAAGGCTTCGGTTAATTCATGCCCTTTTGGCAATATGATTGGATGCTTTGATTCAAAATTCAATGACGAATTTTCAAGTCGCCCACCCACGCGCATCAAGCCGTCTTCGTCTATAAACGGCATCTCCTTGCTTGTTACTAAAGCCTTATAGTCGGAAGCCAAGTGCACTCGCTGAATCATTCTTAACAAAAGCTTTGTGCCTAAGCTAATGTCTTTAGTACTTAGCATTCCAAATTTTCGATCATCCTTGCATCCTATGGCTCTTGCAAATCGATTGACGTAGGCATATATACGCTGANTAGGCATGAACAGGTGCGAACTCCGCGGGCCACTCATTGCGACTGAGCTGCAGAAAGTGAGGCCCATACATCCATAGTGGCGAATTTAACAATTTCAAAGGCGAAGCTCCCCGCGACAGAATGTCTGCCGGGTTCATACTAGTTGGCACGTACCGCCACGACATGTGCTTGGTGAGGGTTTGAATGCTGCTCACCCGATTTGAAACGAACATTTTGTAGTTTGAAGGTTCTCCGCTGATCCACGACAGAACGACTGTGGAATCCGACCAACAATAAAATTCGCTGCCGAAGATGTTTAGTTGAGCCACTGAGTTGATGAGCGTTGCCAACAACGATGCAGCGCAAAGTTCTAGCTTTGGCACTGTAAGTGTTTTTAATGGAGATACTCGAGATTTGTTTTTATTTTACCGCAACTCTCAGATCGTATATAAATGCATGCTCCATATGCTGATAGGCTTGCATCGCAGAATGCATGTACTTGCAAGCGAGCTTCAGGCGAAAGAGAATATCTGTCAAAACGAAATTTATCTACNATCTGTCAAAACGAAGTTTATCTATATGCTGAAAGCCTTCGCATATAATAAGCCAAGCATTTTGTAAGCTCTGCGGTAAGCTCTCATCCCAATGAACCTTTTCTTTCCACAAACGTTGAAGCAAAATTTTTGCCTTTGCTATAACAGGCCCAATTAAACCCAGCGGATCATAAAATCGTGCTATAACTGAAAGTACACTTCGTTTCGTGATTCTCTTACATGTTGATGAGGCTGGGTTGAAACAGAAGAGAAAACAGTCATCATCCGGATCGTTTGTACACCACTTGCGTAAAATTAAATTACCTTTGGCCAATTGGTCACAGGTCTGACTCTTAATTTCGAGTACCTTTTCGACAGAGTTGCCGCCAGAAATCATATCGTCAACATAGAAGTCCCTGCGAACGATTATAGCACCGATGGGGTAATTGCACTGTTCGTCGATTGCAAGCTGGTGCATCGCTCGAATGGCCAAGAAAGAAGCTGGTTTCGTACCATACGTGANTTTTTAACTGAAGCTGGTGAACAAAGCGAGAAGTAATAAAGTTTAGCTGGGATGCCGAATCTAATAGTGATCTGCATGGTACGAGACAGCCAGCTTTATTTGTTATGAGTACAATAGCTGTAGCGATAAGAACAAAGTTATGAGGCGACGTTTCTGCACTTTGAGTGGAAATTGAGGGAAGTGATGATGCCGATATGAGGCTCGACTGTGCCGCAGTGTTGGATGTCAACGTTTTATGTGCGGAGCTATCTACCGCAGGCGAGGAGGCGTTTAAATCGAGCGAGGTAGACTGAGAGCTTGCGCTCAAATGCAATAAGGTGTTGTGCTTGGACGAGCATTTTCGACAGCTACCTGCTGTGCAAGACTTCATCAAATGACCTCTGTGTAAACAATTAAGACATAACTGCAGTTTTTTCGCTTCTTTATATCTAAGCGCAGGGGACAAACTGATAAACTTTGAACACTGCTGTAGGAACAGGTTTTGGTGGACATAACAAATGTTTTGCGATGATTGTTATTGTTTAAGCGAATTTCTTTCCTACCTGATGGCCTGGTGTTTGCGTTACCAAGGCGACTTTCACACTCTCCAACCGCTGACATCTCTTCTCTAGAAACCTTGCCATTGAATCCCAGGTTGGTATGATGTTAGTTGGTGTTTCTTCTTCCCATTTAGTCTGCGATGATATGTCGAGCTTACTGCAGATGAGGTGGATAAGCATACAGTCGGAAAGCTGTTCTTTCGTTGCCATGGTTTGAAGTGCACGCAAATGTGCGTTGACTTTATCGCTTAATTCACGAAGTTTCGCGACGGCTCCAGGTTCTATCCTTCGAAGCGTAAATATATCCTTGATATGGGCCTGAAAATTCAAGCGTTTGTTATCAAAACGATGAACTAATAATTCCAATGCTGTTTTGTAATTTTCGTCTTTTATTTCAAGTGAACGAATAGTGTCTAAGGCCGAAGCTGTCAAGCTGGAACGCAGATGCTGGAATTTCTCAATGTTTGTAAGGTCGGAGTCCTTGTCCACCACGGTGCAAAACATTGAATAGAAGTCAGGCCAGTCGATATATGACCCACTAAATTTAGGGATTTGAAGTACGGGTAGGCGCGATTTTGGCTGAGTTATGATGAAGGACGATGGCTCGTCGAGCGAAAACTGCCGCGCTGTAAACGATTGACGTTTTTCGTTTACTTGCCGTTCATTTTGCTCCTTAACTATGGAAGTTTTGATGTCTGCATATGCACAAAAAAAAACCCGAACGGGCGCTACTCTCCAATTCCATGTGGTCAAGCTCCTCAAGCTTCGTTTGGACGCCGTCAAAATTTCTTTCTATACGTTCAACCTGTTCAAGCCACACAGTGAGTGCTGCTGAATCTAGCTCAAGTAGCCTTTCCGGGGTCAGGGTTGTGCGAATATCATTGAGTTGCCTTGTGAGCGCTGCTACCTTGCGCTTGTAAAATGCGGAATTCACACCAACATCACTGGCTGACGAATCAGTTGACTGGGATCGATTTTTGTAGGAAGATGAACCGAATATTCACCTGATTTCAAGCGAGTGACATTTTGAGCGAAGTGAGCTTCACATTCAAGTTCTTCGTGAGTGGCATGAGGCTCGAGCTGAAACGAATTTTCAACTGCCCAAAACTACTCTACGAGATTATGAAGTGCGTCGGAGTCGTCCACCCAATATTTCTCTAAGGATGCTAAACAGCTGAGACGTTTTCTTACAAATCGGCCACCACCAGATACTACCCAGCCCAGGCGAGTGTTTTGCAGTAAGGGAAGGTGCTCTTGCATGCGAATTTGTCCGACACAGAGTAATTCAAAAAAGAGGCCAGCGCCTATAAGAAGATCTATACGCTGCGATTCAAAGAACAATGGATCTGCTAGCGATATATTTGATGGGATGCTCCAGTCGATATTGTTAAGCGAGTATCCAGGTTGACAATCAGTGATCTTTGGTGTTACGAAGGCAGATAAAGAGGATACATAATCACCAATACGAGAGTGTATGCGAAGACCAACGATATGACCTGACACAAGCTCAGACTGACCTATGCCAGAAATTAGCGTTGTGGCCTTAGACTTTTTTAACTGAAGCTGGTGAACAAAGCGAGAAGTAATAAAGTTTAGCTGGGATGCCGAATCTAATAGTGCTCTGCATGGTACGAGACAGCCAGCTTTATTTGTTATGAGTACAATAGCTGTAGCGATAAGAACAAAGTTATGAGACGACGTTTCTGCACTTTGAGTGGAAATTGAGGGAAGTGATGATGCCGATATGAGGCTCGACTGTGCCGGAGTGTTGGATGTCAACGTTTTATGTGCGGAGCTATCTACCGCAGGCGAGGAGGCGTTTAAATCGAGCGAGGTAGACTGAGAGCTTGCGCTCAAATGCAATAAGGTGTTGTGCTTGGACGAGCATTTTCGACAGCTACCTGCTGTGCAAGACTTCATCAAATGACCTCTGTGTAAACAATTAAGACATAACTGCAGTTTTTTCGCTTCTTTATATCTAAGCGCAGGGGACAAACTGATAAACTTTGAACACTGCTGTAGGAACAGGTTTTGGTGGACATAACAAATGTTTTGCGATGATTGTTATTGTTTAAGCGAATTTCTTTCCTACCTGATGGCCTGGTGTTTGCGTTACCAAGGCGACTTTCACACTCTCCAACCGCTGACATCTCTTCTCTAGAAACCTTGCCATTGAATCCCAGGTTGGTATGATGTTAGTTGGTGTTTCTTCTTCCCATTTAGTCTGCGATGATATGTCGAGCTTACTGCAGATGAGGTGGATAAGCATACAGTCGGAAAGCTGTTCTTTCGTTGTCATGGTTTGAAGTGCACGCAAATGTGCGTTGACTTTATCGCTTAATTCACGAAGTTCCGTGACGGCTCCAGGTTCTATCCTTCGAAGCGCAAATATATCCTTGATATGGGCCTGAAAATTCAAGCGTTTGTTATCAAAACGATGAACTAATAATTCCAATGCTGTTTTGTGATTTTCGTCTTTTATTTCAAGTGAACGAATAGTGTCTAAGGCCGAAGCTGTCAAGCTGGAACGCAGATGCTGGAATTTCTCAATGTTTGTAAGGTCGGAGTCCTTGTCCACCACGTTGCAAAACATTGAAAAGAAGTCAGGCCAGTCGATATATGACCCACTAAATTTAGGGATTTGAAGTACGGGTAGGCGCGATTTTGGCTGAGTTACGATGAAGGACGGTGGCTCGTCGAGCGAAAACTGCCGCGCTGTAAACGATTGCCGTTTTTCGTTTACTTGCCGTTCATTTTGCTCCTTAACTATGGAAGTTTTGATGTCTGCATATGCACAAAAAAAAATCCGAACGGGCGCTACTCTCCAATTCCATGTGGTCAAGCTCCTCAAGCTTCGTTTGGACGCCGTCAAAATTTCTTTCCATACGTTCAACCTGTTCAAGTCACACAGTGAGTGCTGCTGAATCTAGCTCAATTAGCCTTTCCGGGGTCAGGGTTGTGCGAATATCATTGAGTTGCCTTGTGAGCGCTGCTACCTTGCGCTTGTAAAATGTGGAATTCACACCAGCATCACTGGCTGACGAATCAGGCATTTTAGTAGCGATTTCGATTTAATAACTTCGATTTTCGTAATAAAGCGAAGCGTCGCGAATTAATGTTTGTGTCTAAATCTAGTAGTTTCGAGAAAATAAATTTTCCGTTTACGCGATCACGTCGGGGTTACCATGAACAATTGGCAAGCCTTATTGCCAAGAAGCGATCAAATTAAAACACGATAGTTTAACAAAGTTGTGTATTTCGCGAAACGGATTCTCTATGATAATGACCTTTACAGCCTTCAAGGACA